ACATATACGTGCAGAGGCAAGTAGAAGCACACACACACGCAAAGATGCTGCACAGATGCACAGACACACACGATGTACATATACACAGACACACGCGACTGGGCATGTATACACACAGACACACAATGTGCACACAGACACACACGACTGGGCATGTATACACACAGACACACAATGTGCACACAGACACACATGACTTGGCATGTATACACACAAACACACTGTGCATGCAGACACACGCGACTGCGCATATATACACACAGGCACACAATGTGCACACAGACACGTGACTGGGCATGTATACACACAGGCACACAATGTGCACGCAGACACACACGACTGGGCATGTACACACAGACACACAATGTGCACGCAGACACACACGACTGGGCATGTATACACAGACACACAATGTGCACACAGACACACGCGACTGGGCATATATACACAGAGACACAATGAGCACACAGACACACGTGACTGGGCATGTATACACACAAACACACTGTGCATGCAGACACGCGACTGCGCATATATACACACAGGCACACAATGTGCACACAGACACGCGACTGCGCATATATACACACAGGCACACACAATGTGCACACACAGAGACACGTGACTGCATATATACACACACACGATATGCACACACACATATGCAACTGTGCATACACAGGCATGATGTGCACACACAGACACGTGTGTGACTGTGCATAAATGCATACAGACACATATAGTGTGCACACACACAGTGTGCATGCACACAGACACATGTAACTGTGCATATATACACACGCAGACACACATGTGCACACACATAGACAGAAACAGATGGATTCTGTGATTCAGGGATTGAGTCAGAGGTGCCACATGACCCAGCTGGGGTCAAGGAGAGTCAGTTCTGGGATTCTTGAGAAAGGAAAGCCGTCTTTTTGCTGGGGAAGACAAAGTGGGAGTGGGTAAGCCTGGAGCTGCAAGGAGGAGCATTTCTACTTATGGAGAGGGCAGCCTGCGAATGAAGCCAACACAAGGGAAAGTAGATCTGAGGAGTGGAGAAGGGCAGAGAGAGGGCCTTGGTGACATCGTGGGAGCCCCTTGATTCAGCTATGCCTGAAGCTGGCTCCTGGATTTTTCTGTTACAAGAGCTTATTCCCTCTTTTGCTTACGTCTGTTCAATTTTGTTTTTCTATTCCTTGCAACCAAGACATAATCTCAAAGGGCCTATATTCCTTAGGATTCAGTTCAGTGACATAAAACAGGACCCCAACATGGCAGTGGTTCTTAACTAGTTACAAGTTTGCTTTTTTTCTCATGAAAAGAAGTTTGAAGTAGTGGTCTAGGGCTTGGGCGAGAGCTCCAACAGTCAGCAGGAACTCAGGCTCCTTCTGGCTTCCCACTGCACCACTTCAGTGCATAGCTTCCTCCCTTAAGACCACCTTACGGACCAGAACGGCTGCTGGAGCGCCAGCCATCGTGCCTGAGTTTCAGGTAGCAGAAGGAAGAATGGGAAGGCTAAAGGAATGCCTCAAGCTGAGTCATCCCAAGGAGGCTTCCTAGAAGTTGCACCCAACATTCCTCTCCCATCTCACTGGCCAGGAC